TTATCAATATTAATTGATATTTCAAAAGATTTAATTAAAATTCACCAAGCAGGTTACATACATTGTGACCTTCACTGTGGTAATATTTTACAGCATAAAGAAGGATCATGGCTTGGTTTGTTAAAATCCTATATTGCAGATTTGGGATTGTCCCGAAAAAATGAAGAATGCATTTTAAAAAATGGAATTTATGGTGTCATGCCTTATATTGCCCCTGAGGTCTTATTAGGCCAGGAATATACATCAGCAGCCGATATATATAGTTTTGGTGTTATTATGGTAGAGATGACTACTGGAATACGTCCATTTTATGGACGTTGAACTTGCGTTAGAAATTTGCTGTGGAAAAAGACCTGACATTGCTTTAGGAATCCCTAAGTGCTATATTGACCTGGCAAAATTGTGTATGCATTCAGATTCAAAACAACGACCTACTGCTGAAACAATTCTTTGTAAACTTTCTGAATGGCATAATTTTATTAACGAATCAGATGAGTCTGATGGGGAATTTGATGAACTTGTTGAACTTGATTTATTTGACGATAATTCTGCTGAAGTTGATGAAAAATCAAAAATTCGAAGTGAATTTATGGCTGCTGATATGAAAATTCAAGAACTTTCAATAACTTTGCAAGGACATCCTGATATCGTATACACGAGCAAATTTATCAATACACGTGATATTGCTCAACATTATAATGAAAGAAGCGACAGACTTAATAAATATATGGGTAATTATATGCACTAGAAGTATTTGTTTAAGTTATCGTTATAAAATTATTTAATATGTTTATAATGTAATATAGACTCTGATTTAATGAATTGTGAAATTTCAATTGACGGAACAATAAGTCACGGATCGAAAAGGCGGAAAATTGATCAGGAATCACATGCCACATGTAATTAGGTGCTTCAATCATCGAGCACGATGGGTAATATGATTCATCCAACACTTCGTTATAACAGATCCAACATAGCTTTTACTAATTGTGATGACATTACGGCATTGCGACATTACAGCATATTCTGTAATTAATTATGGATAAGAAGCTCGAATGTTGCAAAGCATTAACCGTAATGATGCAATGTCTTAATACTGTATATTTTTACAATGTTGTATTGTCATATTATTGTAATGCTCATCAACTTATAATTGATAATTACCAACTACGAGAATGTTAATCTATAGTTATAGAGTTTTAGGAGAATCTTTCTTTTTCTTCTTTGCACGTGTTCTATTATACGTGGATAACCAAAATTTAAACTACAATTATTCCTTTTAGAAATTTATATTATGAGCATATTTAAACAATAAATCTCGCTGTTGAAAATTTGTGTAAAGCAAAACTAATCAATTATATCCCTATAAAAAAGTTAATTAATGTTTTCTATTCAATGTTTTATTCATAAATATTGTATATTTATGGAATTGATACCTTCAAATGATGGAATCTATTCTGTCTACTAAAGAGCGTGACCAAAGTATCCGGATTTGTTATGTAACTCAAGGATCAGACCTTTTCCAATGATTTGGTGTTCAAATACTGGTAAATTCGCAATATCACATAAATGATTATATATTTTATTGTCACGACCGATGCTGAAATTTGGGACTCAATTTGAAAATACAAGCCCTGCTAAAATCCACATATACACTTTATTTATCAATTCTTGCTTAAAATTTTAACTTAACCCAACGAAAAAACACCCCAAAAATATAAAATTTACTATCAAAATAGGTCCAAATTTCAACATCAGCCGTGATGTTTATTTTAATAATCTCCAAAATCAAACAAATCCGCCCATACGTTCCTCGACAAGATGTTTATACGACAGATGTTCCTCCGAATTTTGTGAATTTTAACTGTTTTGCGCATTGAAATATTATCAAATATTTGGTTATACTTTGTACTTTAAGTCAGCCTATATATATCTCTTGAGCTTACTGCCAAATTTTATTAATTTATATTAATGTATTAGTTAAATTAATTGCAGATGCAGGGGAATTAATTCTACTTGCGTATAATTAATTCTACAACTTTAATTCTATAATTGTATAATTATCAACCAGATCATGAATAACAGGTAAATGTAATTAAGTCTTATCATGAAATGGAGTGTTTTTTTTTATTTAGTTATAAATGCTTAATGATTTTTTATTGATATATTATATTTATTATTTTTTTATAGTGTTTTATTTTAATGATGCTAAACTGAATTAGTGGTATTTAATATATATATGTTTTAATTATTTTATTAGTAGTAACTATAATGCATCATGGGCTGAAGTTCAAAGGCATAGAAATCTCAGTAAAGTCATCATCAATTATGCTTTATTGATAGTTCAATGAATAGTACAATAAAACCACCTGCACCTCAATGTTTGCTGGTCATGACTTGAAACAAAAGTATCGTCATGGTGAGTGATGGTGTGATACGTATCTGTAGAAAAGATGGTCTAACTTCAGTATGTCTTTCATTCTTTTCATATTAGAAAATATTTTTTTTGCTTTTAAATCTTTTTCAACTTTTTAACTTTTAACTTTATTCATTCATAATTTTTAATTAATCCCGTGTCTCCATAGACTTCTCCATATAACTGTGTCACCTGCAATTTTGATGCTTGTTCTAGCCATTGCAAACCTGATGAAATATGCGAACCTAAAAGTCACTGCCAGAATCGTCATCCTCTTCGTTATGCGCAAATTCCTACAATGTGGATGTGTGATGAATGTAGAAAAATTTGTTATGGAAGACGTTTACGATGTAAACAATGTGATTATGAATTATGTTCAACATGTTTGGCAAACGAGGATCTTGCTTATTTGATGGCAAATTGCTCATCGCCTCAAGATGATCTTTTTTTTTTAACACTGTTTTTTTCATTCTTTTTATTATTTGATCATATACATTTTTTTTCTATCATTTACATTAGCATTCACATTATTACCATTCCATTATTTTTTCAACTCGGCATTTTTTTATTCATAAACATTGTGATTATTATTATTAAAACATAGTTAAAGAAAATTAAGGCTATAAACGTGAAATAACTAAAAACACTAAACTTGTAGCAATAATAATTAATCAATAAAAGCAATGTTTCATTTATGACTATAACTTAGTATATCTGAGCACATCA